TAACAAAAATAATACTTAATCTTTTTAGGCATTGCTACTGGAGCAGAAGATTGATTCAATTACCACACTAGAAAATAACTTAGAGATTTAGATTGTCAGGAGTAACCTCCCCTCCCCCTTATAAAGCATTTGGAAATCTAAAATTGTTGGTAAAGCCAGTTTAAGGTGATTCTTCTGCTGGCTCTGATGCACAAAATTTAAGGGAACAATTTGTAGTTCAGAAAGGCATACTTTGGCTAGTTAATCTAGGGACTTTTTTAAAATTATTTATTTATTTTTTATTTTATTTTTTTTTGAACATGAAATGCTTTTTTATAGCATGTTTTACAAGGGGAGGGGGTAAGAGGGGCCAGGTGGTGGAAAAGTACAAAATCTTCTTGGCCTGTGCCTTGAAACATGTCATGGTCTATACGGTACACTGCCTTGAATTATGATCTATCTGCTGTTCTTCAGAAGATATGGTACACTGCTTGAGTTATGGTCTCCCTGCTATTCTTAAGATGATATGGTACTCTGCTTTGAGTCTATCTGCAGTTGCAAAGCAGGATCTTGCAGTTGCCAAGCTTCAGGGGACATTGTGCAGGTGGGGAAAGTTAGGGAGTGAGGGTAAGGGCGAGGGTCCTGGCTTCTGGCATCTCCCCCTTCTCTGTTTAGTTAGAGAAGGCATCTTATGATCAATCCCAACTATGTGAATTTTGAATTTGGATGTCTAATTATGGGGGGTCTTAGACAAGTTCACAACCCCAAAACACTGATGTGAGACGAGTCACATCGATGGTCGAAGGTTTTAGGCTGTCGACGATGGGCAACGTCAAGGGACTCCGATGTGGGTGAAAGGAGGGTGAGAGCCCTGTCTTAGGCCATGTAGGCTGCACCAACTCCCAGCACCACGCACTACTTTTCGGCTGTATTGGGTGGGCCCCTGGGAAGTGGACCTACAATAATCCCGTCATTGGGCTAACTCACAGCCATCCTAGTCTCTTGTAAATGTTCAAGTTACCAACCATTTGTCAGTTTGGGGTGTAATATTGTCATAAAGGAAGGCTCCCCAATGTTAGCGGCCATATCAAGGGCGGCCTTGGTTTAGGAAAAAGCCAATTTTTGTTGTGGTGATCAAGAGGCCAAGCTCTCTATGAACATGAAAAGTGCCAGCACTGCTTGATCGTAACTCTAACTGAAACTAACTAGTGATATTTGATTTCTTCTCATTTTTGCCCTCACATTCCTGACATGATTTAATAGGAATTTATGATTCTTAGCATCAAAGCATTTAATACGAATTGATTGATTTTTATATAAAAGTAATGTTTTGTGATTCTTATAAGGTTACTTTTAAAGATAACACAAGTCACACCAAGTTCTGGTGAGGATAAAGAGAAAGAGGAACACTCTTCTATTGCTGGTGGGATTTTAAACTGGTACAACCACTCTCAAAATGAATCTGGTAGTTCTTCAGAACCAGCTATACAACTCGTTGGCATATACCCAAAATATAATCCAGTATACCATAAGGACACATGCTCCACCCTGTTCATAGTAGCCTTATTCCTAATAGTCAGAAGCTGGAAACAACACAAATATCCCTAAATGGAGGAATAAATACAGAATGTCTAGTTCAATTACACAGTGTAATATTACTCAGCTACTAAACACAAAGACAGTATGAAATTTGGCAGAGAATTAATGGAAATAGATCTTTTCATCCTGAGCAAGGTAACCCAGACCTAAAAGGACATATATGGTATGAACTCATTCTAAGTGCATATTGTCCAAAATATAAAGAATACCCATGATACAACTCACAGACCATATGAAGTTTAACAAGAAGAAAGACCCAAGTCAGGCTACTTCAATCCTATTTAGAAGGTGGAACAAAACAATTATGGGAGACAAGGGTCAGGGGGAAGAACTTGTATGGTAGGTGGGAAGAGGAGGGGAAAAGGAGGACAGTATCAAGTATTGGGGAAAATAGAAGAGAAGCCCTGACGGCAGGGAGAAAGAATAGACATATGCAGCTAGGGATATGTAGGCAGGGGTCGGGGCAGGGATACTTCTAGAAAGTCCCAGATCTCTGGGATGTGAGAGTCTTTCTATACTCAATATGAATGACTTTAGCTGAAATCCCCAAAACTGGGGAGATGAAACCTGAATAGACCAACTCCAGTAGTTAGGGGGTGTTCCTATTGATGGGATGGGACCACACACTCATCTTCAAAAATTTGATCCAGAATTGTTTCATGTCTAAAGGAAATGCATGGGCAAAATGGAGCAGAGACTGATGGAAAGGCCATCTAGTGACCAGTCCTACTTGGATCCCACTCCACAGACAGGTACTATTTTTGGTGTCATGTTGTTCTTGCAGAAAGGACCTAGCATAGCTATCCTCCAAGAGTTCCCACCAGAGATGGCTGAGGCAAATGCAAATAATTACAGCCAATCATTGGACTGAGATCAGGGATCCATATGGAATATTTAAGGAGAAAGAATGAAGATGGAGAAGAGGATGGTAACCCCATAGGAAGAAAAATATTATCAACTAAACTGGACTTGTGAGAGCTTCCAGAGACTCAACCACCAACCATGGTCTGGGTCATGGTCTTTGGCACATATGTAGCAGAAGACTGCCTTGACTGACTTCCATGGGAGAGGGTGTACCTAATCCTGTAGAGATTTGATGTCCCAGGGAAGGAGGATGCTTGGTGGCTGAAAATGGGAAGCACCCTTTCAGAGGCAAAGGGGAGAGGGTTAAGATGAAGAGCTCTGGGAGTGAGGACCAGGAAGTGCAACAGCATTTGACATGTAAATAAAAAATTATATAATTATAAAAAAGAAGTAAAAAGATAATAAAATAATTGCTTCTATTTTTATAACTGTAGTTTTCTACCTGCAGTAAGAGAAATTGGTTGAGAAAATTACCTCACAATTTGTTAATCTATAACTAGTTCCTTGTTTTCTCTACATGCACTATGTAATACTTCTTGTGAAAGTATTGGGAACAAGCAGTTATTTCATAGTCATTCACTAGAAGAAAACTAAAACATAATCTTTTACTGTGTGAAAGAATAAAGTGGTTGGAACATTGTTCTTTCTACCCATCAAATATGTGTGTGTGTGTGTGTGTGTGTGTGTGTGTGTATATATATATACACAAACATGTGTAAAGTTTGTGTTAGAGTATGTTGGAACTTCTTATCTTCCAATTTTATGTATGTATATATGCAAATATATATATGTATATATATATGTGTGTGTGTACGTATAAATACATAGATACACACATGTAAATATATGGGTGTGTGTTTGTGTGTATAAAGTGTGTGTAAGAACGTGTTGGAACTTTGTTCTACTCAACATAATTGCACATATGTATATATGTAAAGATGTCTGGGTGTTTTGGAGCTTGCTCCTTCCACCAATTTTGTGTATGTGTGTATGTGTAATATATGAGAAATATTTGAAGCCTCTATGTTAGAACTTTGTTATATCTACCCCCTAGTATGTGTATATGTATGTACGTCCATCTGTGCATATATGTATATATCTGCACATGCAAAATGCTTGGAGCTTGCCTTTGGAAATTTGTTTCATCAACCCAATTGTATGCGTATATGTGCATATATATATATATATATATATATATATATATATATATATGTGTGTGTGTGTGTGTGTACATATGTATTTAGGTAAAATGCTAGAAACCTGCTTCTAGGAACTTTGATCCAGCCATCAAATGTGTGAATATGTATGTGTTTGTCCATCAGTCTCTATATGTGTGTCTAAATGTATATATTTGTATGTGTTAAGTTGCTGGAACTTATCTTTGCTTCAACCATTGCGTGTGTGTTTGTGTGTGTGGGGGTATGTGCATGCACGCTAATGTGCATGTGTATGTTTCTGTGTGTGAATGTTTGATTTTTTTCTCCTCTTTTCTCTTCACTAACATCTGGATATCATATCTGGCAGCCCCTGTGAGTTTCTTATCCAACCCATGACAACTGCTCTCAGCACTAACTCTCACCAGCCTCCAATAACTCTGTGGTGTCAAAATTGATCTTTTGCACAGAGTCATGCAAATTCCTCATAAAGAAAAGATTATTTCAACAAGCTGTGCTTCTCCTGACAATTTCAAAAGTCTGTCTTTGATGATATACTTAAAAGTTGAGAGTTCTTATGTAAAAATGTCTGAAAATAAACCCAGTCATCTCTACGCATATCTGATCCAATGTCTGTAGGTTCCTGTAATTCTGACACATTAGGAGAACATTGAAAAGCAGACTCCCAGTGTAAACTTTTTGTAACATTCTTGTAGATATTTTTAAATTTTATGTGATAATAGTCATGTGCATATGTGTGTGTATGAGAGAGAAAGAGAGACAGAGAGAGAGAGAGAGAGAGACAGAGAGAGAGAGACAGAGAGAGAGAGAGAGAGAGAGAGAGAGAGAGAGAGAGAGAGAGAGA